AATATTACAAATAATTAACCTACAAGCTAATTAATTATTACAAATTACCTAATTAGTTAACAAACTAACTAAGCTAGGAAAAACAGTAAACCGCTTCGAGAAAAGAGCCTAATGCAATGCGTGCTCGGGTCTTGCTCGGAAGTGTACCGCCATGCATAGGCTGCCTCTGTTTTCCTTTCTTTACTCCTCTGGAGGCTGCCAGAACCTCAGGATTGCTTCTCTGGATACTGGGGAATGCCATCGGCTGAGTAGGATTACCACCGGCAGTGGTATGTGGTCACTGGCACATAATGAATCCATCGGCTGCTGATTGATTGCCGGTCGGCAATCTATGAAGTCGATCGGCAGAGAATGCCTGCAGAACCTGTTTGACAGCAGCAGAGGACAAGACTTTGCATGGCAATACAATTCAAACTATGTATGCACCAATCATGTCCCTTATCACGCTAGTGACTCAAAGGGACATGCTTCTTGGTTCTCGGACCATCAATCGCGCATTTCCATGCGTGATGGCCCAAAGAACCAATTTATGCACATTTGATGTCAAGTGTAATGCAAACCAACAAACCAAAGAGGCTCAACCTCTATCACAAACATTTCAAGAGGCCAAGCATGCATGCAAGTGGAATGCAATCCTAGGCATGTGAGCTAAGGATGCGACATGGCAATGCAACGCTTTCATGCAATTATGCAAGCAAATATGCGAGGCCAACATGAAAACACACAAAGGGTAGACTTGAGCATGATATGGGCAGCTCTAACTAGGCCTAAAACAGTGGCCAAAGTGCTATAAAATGAGGGCTAAATGACATGCAAACATGCATGCACACAAGGGCCAACACTTAAGCATAAAAGGGCAACTCTCAAACACACTTGGAAGAGGCATAACATGGACTAATGGCATGCAAGGTAAGCATTGAAAATCATGTTACAAATGGTGCTAAGCCAATTAAACAAGACAAACAAGGCATGCAAACAAAGCCAAAAACCCAAGACAAGCCAAGAGGCTTAAACCAAGACTAAATCAACCAAGCCTCGCAAGGCTA